ATCACTTTATGAAGATGCATTCAGGAAAGGACTGGACAAGTCACTAAGCTAAAGAGTGACTTCACTGCAACAATTACCAAATCCTTACCAATTCAATATTTAAAACTGATCATTGCAGCAACATATATTCACTTAAATATATGTAAAGCAACAAGTTTAAAAATATCTTTCAGTATTAAAAACAGTTCTGAGCTAATTTGTATTATCATATATAACACATTAAACAAATGAATTCCAACTTAACTACTTAATGCTATAAACATTCTGAATTGTTTTGCTCTACGAGTATGAACGAAGCATGAAAGTTAAACTACCTAAATAGTGGAAGTTTAGTCATTGAAAATGCCTGGATGATGTGCTTTAACAGCATTATGGGCAAGTAGTAAAAAAAAAAAAAAAACATGTTTTGCTGCAACTTAGGCAGAGGGAGGCTCAGTGAAACTAGTGAGAGAAGGAAAGTAAGAGATAAGAGGCAAAAGTTGGTATCAGTGAGATCTGATGCTGAGTATGCCCCTTATATGTTACTTTGCAAATACAATGGAGATGCAAAAACAGGCTGGAAAAATTCCTCCGAGGAGAAAAGTCTATAGCCTTATGTACCCCTCTCCAGTATCTTCTTTAGCAATCTTGCCTTTGGTTTCAGTGTAACATGAACAGACCTATCTACTTACAAAAGCTCCCCTCTTCCCACCAGCCTTGTTTGTTATTTTATGTGTTTCTGCATCATTTGCAGAGTTTGCTTTGATCTACATTCCTCCTGGATGTGCAGTTTCCTTTTCGGCTACCAAAAGGAAAACTGTTTGGTTTGAGAATTTGCTTATTTTGAAGCTCTGCTGGCCCAAAATACCTATTTTTAATCCAAATGAACACAGCTCAGTGCTTTCAGCTCTTCAGCACTGGTTGCCTTCCTTTCAGGAAAACCCTCTTTGAACAATAAGTGACCTCTTCATGCTCTAATAAAATGCCCAAACTGTAATTCCAGCTGGCATAAACGAGAGCATTCAGTTTGCTGCAGCTGAGTTGGAATATTGACACTCAGGCATAATCTGATCCTTGAACTGCTTTTATTTTGGCCCCATCCTGAAGTGGTCAGCATTCTATTCTATGTCTGACACCCAACAACATGTACCATGCTGCTCTAAAACATCAGCAGAGCAGGTAATTAAGAATTCTCCCGATATTTCTTTATTACAGACTCAATCTACCTTAATGGCAGAACTCCTGCATCCTCCAAGGGGTGGCTGGGCTTTGGTGTGTTTGTGTGCACGACTGTAAATCCTTCTGCACGGAATGGGTGATGTTGAATGCAAAGCCTGAGCCATTTTAATCCTTCCTCCTTCTCTGAGAAGCACCACAATGCTCCCACATGAGGAACAGTCCATAGACAAAACACAGTTCATAAATAACAGGTAAACAATCTTCAAATGAGAGGAGAAGACGGGACACATCCTTGGATTGACTCTTTGACTGGGAAACAGGATATATTCTTCAAGGACCTCGCAGGAATGGTCCCAGAGGACAATCAGAGATTAGATCTTCTCTTCTACGGGGTTAGGCCACAGGAGTTAACTTGGGAAACAATTCAGATAAACAAAGCACTGGCAAGAGGAAGGACACTGTGAGATTTTGCTCATGTCTTTACCAGGCACAGGCCTTCATGTCAAGCTCCACATTAAGGACTTAGATTCCAATGGTAACAGAGCGTGAACTGCCATCACCAGTATTGGTGAAGTAACCTATGATTCTGGAGGATAATTACCTGTTGTGAGAAGATTCTTACTGAGGCAGCCTAGAATTAGAGTATCCTCATCCACTGACCAAAATGTGCTTAGAGTGTCGCTCAGCAGACGCTCAACTGCTTCTATGAGAGGGCAGAACCTGCAGATTCATGCCCTTCTCATCTGCAACCTGGCCTATTTAATGCAGTCAAAGGCTGATGTGCTCTCTATGATCAATTTTTGTTTTAGGAAAAAATTGGACAGGGAAATTAGTATTTGAGTGCACGTGCACACACAGGCACTGCCACATTTAGAGCTGCACAAGCAGTGGGGGAGAGCGCTCCTATTTTGCAAGAAGGAAAACATTCCTCACAAAAACACAGCTATGGCCACTTCACCAGAGGAAATATTAAGGAAACAGTTATCAAGGATGAGTAGGTGAAACATCTGAGAACAACTGCCCTTTTTCACATAAATAATTACATATATGTAAGGGGGGAAAAAAACAAATACATGGAGCAATGTGTGCGTGTATGTGCAACGTGTGCACCCACCATGGCAAGCAGATATTAATTATGAAGAAGTTTTGGTTAAAGCTTCTTCATATTTACATATATATATGTGTGTAAAATATATGTATATTTTACCCTTATAGAACTTGTAAACTACTCTGTATTCAATCTAAAATAAAGCAAGTGGAAGCTGTTTCCTGCTGAGTGCATGTGGATGAGGCCAGTGCAGATTCTAATGTAAAACATAGTGGTTTTCTCCACACGTTTCTCTCTATCTTTAAAATATAAGGTTTTAATAATAAAGGTACATTAGAACACAGTGATGGTGCTCTATGTGTTTCTGTCTGTGAACCATCTAAGGAAGTGAGAAGATTAAAATAACACAGGAAAGAATTATTACTTGAGGCATCCAAAAAGCAACGCCAATGGACGATCCAGGAAAACACTTGGTTTCTTTTTTTTCCTGTTTCGAAGTATCTAGAAACATATACAAATAGTAAATCTCAGATAAATTAGCTAAAAGCTGGAAAACACCCCGTATCCCAGCTGGCAATGCACTACAAAAGCAGCACGTGAGGGGTTACCCCGAAGCAGGGTCCGCCTCAGCTGTGCTGCCTGCCATCTCCTGCACTGCCAGGACCACAGCTTGCATCCTTAAGACTCGAAACTGATCCACTTCAGTGATTAGGCTGATCCAAGGACACGGACAGGAGAGCAGGATTTAATGGGCAGGCAGGCAGGAAAAGTCTTTTAACACTTTAGAAAACATTGACTTGGTGGAAGGAATTGGCCAGCTCAAGGGATTAGTAATGAGATCCTGAGCCCCTTAGCTCTAGGTCACCACACTGAATCTGGTCCAGGTCAGTAGAAATCAAAAGCTGTTGCTGTTCAGTGGCCTTTGGGAAGTCAGTTGGTGGTCCCACCCCACTTACCTCTGGCAAAATATTTGTACCAAAACTAACAACAGCAGTTGGCAGCACATGAAGGAAAGGTTTAGGACTGGCACAGTACAGGAAAAGTCTGAGCAGAGAAAGATGTCCCAGCAAGCACAGTAGGCTGAGACTCAAGAAAAATGAGAAAACGAGCTCCCTGATCATCTGCAGATTTCCAGTGTGACTTGGGGCGGGAGACAGGATCCTGTTCATGAAAACTTTATTTCCCCGTTGCTGTGATCTTCACAAGGCATTTTATGGCCTAAAAGTCTCTGTAGGGCAAAGCAGTTGCTGAAGTTCAGACCCTCACCTTTAAAATGGAAGTAATTAACTGAAGGGCTGCTGCAGGGAGAGCCTCTGTAAAGGGGTGACAGAAAAGCTAAACGAGAAACCCAGACAGGGGAGAAAACCCTTTCTACCTAAAATCAGGTCCCCTAACTCCAAAAAAAGGCATTTGCTGAGTATGCACAAGGCTCCCATTTGCAAAGCTCTGTGCTTTCATGTGCTCAAAAAGAACAAACTCCCCTTAACAGAAAAAGTACCCCCCAAAATCCCCCACGTTTCCACTGCTGCCCAGCAGAGCAGCATCAAAGAATGCAGCTGCTCCCAGCTTTTATCCCACCTAGGGTGAAATTCTAATGTCTGTGTTGTGCAGGAGGTCAAATAGATTATCATAATAGTCCCTTCTGGCCTTAAAAACTATGAAATTGGAGAGTGAATCGCGCGATTTCGGTCACTATTGAAGCTAGGACGGGAGGCGGCAGAGCCCAGTGATAGGGTGTGATATGGCAGAGTAAATCCAATGTTCTTAGGCCCTGTGAAGCTGGGAGACTGACATTCTGCCTTCTTTGTTGCCCCTTTGGGACACCAAGAGAGATGCAGGTTATTGTAATAATAAGCCCAGTCCACTCTCAATGCATCCCAAGATTATTGCCTCTTACAGGAGTGGGTGCGTGAAGGATTGAGAAACACTAGTTATTTTCAAACTGGATTAAGTCTTTCAAAAGCTAATAGGTTTCCAATGAGCTGTGGTGTTGCTGCTGCAGCTGCTCTAATTTGAGAATAAAAGAATGCAGGCTTTGTGCCTGGGGACCTGTTATTGATCCCAGCAAGAAGGATGGGAAGGAAGGGGGTAGAGGAGGGTTATCCTCCTTTCAGCTGGGGCAGGGGCGTTCTTTTCAAAGTCACATTATCTGCTAGTAACAACAAAACCTAACCCCATGACACGCTGCTCTATACAGGATTGCACTTGTTGAGAACTAAAAGCATTAGAAGGGGAAAAAAAAAAACAACCTCCACTGGCAACCTTGTGCAGCAAACTTCATTGAGGGCCCACGAGACTCAACAGATGGGTCTCGAGACTCCCTCATTAGGAAACGTGCCTGGCCCTTTGCATCTGCTGCCCTGCTCTGCTCTGTGCCACGCACTCATTAGCATCCCAGGCTCACAGATTCCTTAGCACGTGCTTCCAATAAATATTGCAAAGAAAGGAGGGGAGGGAAGCCACTGCTTGGAGCAGAAAGATGAGGGGTCACCCACGAGGCTGGGAAATCCTTACACACACTCACACAGGCACAGCCCCAGAGGAGGGAGGACAATAAAAGGCAGCCAACCACAAACGTGCAGTTAAAGGGACAGGTGTGGAATTGCTTCTATTCAAGTTGTGGCAGATCCTCATTCGTTCCCCTCTGCCACAGTAAATAAAAATCATCATTAAAGATATATAAAACACCCCCCTCAACAATTCAGGGCAACACACAGATTGTGGATCCGCGAGAGTCTGTTTGCTCCTTTCAGACATAAAGCTGATACATGCTGGGTAATGCCACTTACCTTCAAAGAAATTCGTTGGGTTTAAGGGTCCAGTTCTACAGCCAGGCTCTTTTTCTTTCGGGTCTTCACCAAGTTGCCAGAGTGCCACAGATCGGGGACGTCCTTCACCACACGTGGAGCGGTCCATGACTCCCAGCTTGACATCAGGAGCAGTGGAAGAGAAAATCATCTCCAGTGCGTTTGAAAATGCTGTGACACAAACCAGCCGTCAGGGAGGCAGGAATGAATGTAACACCTTCCAGGTTCTGTGGAAAGAGTAAAGACAAACCTTTAATCCAGAGAGGCAGGGTGACAGGGTGTCTTGCTCATAACCCCTAAGAGTAAGGCCCTCTATTTGCCACCTCTCCATGGGGTCCCAAGCCTATTCCTCCTGCACTCCTCATTTGCCCTTGTTTCCACTGCCCTGCTAGAAGCTGCAGGCACTTTTTCCACAGCTGCCTCCAGAGTGGGACTGGGAGAGTCTCAAGTGATTAACTGTGGATGTTGATGCTTAAGCACATCCCTAACCGAACTGAAACTTTTTTGTTCCTCAGTTTAGGCACATTTATGTTTTGGGCTGAATCTGGATTTTAGCAGCTTTAATGTCTCTAAATGTTCCTTCAGGCCCAATGAAGCAACTCCCTCTATATCTCTCCCACAGGAACAAGTAAAATCAAGGCCCAGAATATTAGATCAGCCATGGAATAATGGCAGGCAAAGGCAAGAAGTTATATACTGTACACTCAGATTTAAATGTGCTAATCACTGCTCTCTTCTTTTTAGTCACTTCCTTAGCTAAATGACACCGCTGTGTACTTCAGTCTTGCACCCCCAGGATAGGTTGTGATTGGGAATGTACTGAACACATACTCTCATATGTAATTAACAATGAAAACAATGTGTGTGAAAAAAAGACTTCAGGCATTTTGATGCTGCCATAATGAGAAGATGAAACTCAGTCTGAGCACTTGCTGAAAAAAAAAAAAAAGACTTAAAGCAGCATTTTTGCAGAAAGCTGTGAGGGAAACCCTGCTGGAAATCTGGACCTCTGTTGGAAGCACCCGTTGCCCACTGGAGACAAGGCTCAGCCCAGGTTTCACTGCAGCCTCTTCCAGGACTGACAGGAATAGCTGAGGTTGCTGCTTATCAAAGGAAAGTGTCATCTTGTCTGTGACAGAGGTGCCAGCACTGCTCAGTGTCACAGTCTTTGCACCTACTGGAAGCTACTCCAGCTTGATAAGCTGTACCCCTGCTCAAGACCTTAAACTGCAGTCTCAGCTCTCCCCTGTTTTTAGAAGGCAGGGATTTGAGATCAAATCACTGGTGCACAGGGATGCCACCACCGGGGAGGATAAGTGAAGGGCAGAGCCAGGTTAATGTGGAGGCATCCGAGCCTCGAGGGGTTAACAGAGAAACAACCAGAGAGCAGGTTTTATGTGCATACAAATAAAGGAAACTGAAGGAGAAACAGCACTATTCTCTGGAATGGAGTAAGCTCTCAATTTTAAGCTGTGACAGAAAGCAATAATGTTATGGATTTACTTAATTACAGCTGGATAAAACTTAAAGGCTCTACAATAGATGTGTTTTTTGGCTCTACAACTTTAACTCTTTCGGGGCCTTTACTGGTTCTGACTGCAGTAATTTCTCAGTATCCCAGTCTTTATTATTTTATTGCTCTCAGAGTAGCTTCTCAAAGAGATTTAGTGCCTCACTTTAATTCCTGGGAGCTAATACACAGAAAAACTAAGGTGGGAATTGCTAAGTGATAAAACACACACGCACAATAAACACAACACAGCTTCGAAATTTTAGTTCAAGCAACACACTCCAGGGAAAGAGGGAAGTACTTGTAGCAGCAAACTGGATTTGGGGCTCTGGTCATTAAAGCATCTTCTCCCCTAATCTTTTGTCACATTTGAAAAGCTTGCCCGGAGATACAGCTTTAAGAAACTGCCTGACTTGGACGAAATGGAAGCTTTCATGGAAGTAGCATTGGCTAAACTGTGCTCTTTCTCCTCACCTCTGCCACTTGCTCAACTTTCTCAGCAGAGCTAGTTTTCCCTCCTGCTCCATTTGTGAAATAGCCTACCGTGGGGTGTGGCCTCCCCACAAAACGCTTCCTAATTAGTTTCTAAACATTAAATGATTGTGGAAGCGCAATTCCCATTCCACTCAGGTGATGAAAAGCTTTACAGGAGTTCAGTCTCACTTTGTAATTAGAGAAATTAGCTTTCTAAGTTTAGATCACTCAACTGTGCAAATGGGTTCATCTGCTGGAATGTGTTGCTCCGAAATGCGTGTCAGCCGAGCAGCACGGGCACGGTCCCTATCTCTGCCTCCACGACACTCACCCAAGTGGGGAGGTCAGTCCCGGCGCTGCAGGAGGAAAATGAAGTGTTGTGGGTGTATTGTAGGAAAGGCCTTATCTAAAAGCTCACTCATCCGTGATGGACTGCAGCGATACGTCCTTCTCCTTGCAACAGGGCAGCTTAACTCCCCAGATAAGGGATTATCCGAGTGGATGAAATTTTCACTCTTTCACTCGGTGTGTTTGGAATTATATCTAAAGCTACGCCAAATTGATTTTAATGGGTAATTTCGAGGAGCAAAACCACTTTTAGAAAAATCTACAGAAACAAAGGGCTCCTGTATCCTCTTTGCTGTGAAATGAGGTCGTTGAGCTTTATGAATTCTTTATGACTACGTATTGCACGTGTCAACAGATTCTTTCCTGGTAGCCCTTTACCAGTTTTACTGGAGGCTGATGCAGGATCAGGCCCCCATGATTATGCAACTGTCTTGATGTGGATTAGAGTGGCAAACAGAAGTTTAGTCACTGACTTCAAAATGAGATGGATCGGGTCCCTGAACGAAGAATTTTTCCAGGGGCGCCATTCCAAGCTTACCTTCAGGTATCACAGATCTAAGGAAATCCTGTGGGATTGTTCACAGCCACGACTCAGTGACTCACTGAGCTTTAAAAGGAAATTACAACTTTCCTAGCACAAAGAACTGACTTCACGACACCTGACCCTCGTAAGCCAGGCACTCCCTCTAAAGGCTGTGATCCTCGTCCCACCGAAGTCCTGGGCAGTCTCCCAGTGGCTTCAATGAGCAGCTCTAAATTAAGGAACTGATTCAGGCCCAAAGCAAAGCGGTGCCTGTAATTCTGGACTTTGGCACAACTAGGTGTCCATAACGGCCTCTAACGTGGATGTGATCTAATTATGTCGGAATAGGAAGATTAGCAGGAAGTAACTTTACGCAACGCGAGGAGCTGAGTGCCAGACCCCGAAAAGTTCTTCGCCAGCCACAAAGGAAGACACGTCGGCTCTCCGCACTGGTGGGACGTGCAAGCAGAGCCCTGCAGCAGGAACTTTATGTGCGCCAGTCTCTGGCTACTCCAAGCAGCTCAGTTCAGGCCCCCCCGTGCACACGCAGCAATTTGTACGTTGCCGTATCAGTAATGAAATTAGTGCCTTAAAAACGTGCTCGGGCCGCAGGCACCGCGCTCAGCTGGTTTTCAGTGCTGCTGTGCAGGGGTTTTAAGATCTGCCCTCGAGAGCCCGGTGAAGGAAAGCAAGAGATGGGACTTCAAGGGTGAAATTCTGGACTGCACAAGGTGATTTTACTGCTGACTTCCATGGGGTCAAAATTTGTTCTGCGAGGGAGAGGGTTTGCAACGCGCTTCTGCACGTGACTCACGCTCTGCCTTGCTTTACCTATCAGTAATACTCCCCACCTCAAGACACTGGGAGGCTTAATTCATTAATGCTTGCAAAGCATTTTAAGTTGTTGGACGAGTAATTGTGTTGGAGGGCAGCTACACTGCTGAGTCACAAGCACTGTGGGAACCAGGACTCTGGATTTCCTAAGCACTGGAGTCAAACAGGTGGAGTAACCTGTTACAGAAAGGTCAACTCCAGACCTGCCCTAAAGGTACAGAGCGTACCAGCCAGCAGCAGGGTATTTAAAGGCCCAGAGGAGGAGATGTGTGGCACTTGGGAATGAGTAACATCTAAACAGGCTGCGGAAACTAAACCAACGCTCACTGGAAATAAAAGAGAGGTGCTGGTTCTTGTATCACCAAACTGCAGCCACGTTGTGGGTAAAACACAATGAAGGTTTACCAGCCTAAGAAGAGTTAATTACTCCAGTAAGGAACAACCAATACTGCTGGAACTTGGGGGCTGAATGAGGCTGGAAGGAGCATTTGGCAACCGCACACCTCACAGGCAATGCCAAAATTGCTGGGATGTGATTTTTGAACTCAAATAGGAAGCGATTCTCAGGAGTCAGATGGAAGTCTGAGCAGAGCTCCAAGGTGAGGGGCACAAATGCCACCAGCTTCCCAGCCTGAGGCACTGCAGAATGGGACACCACAGCCAAGAACAGGCACGCACTTTGCTTTTGCCATAGGAAATTAAAACAAAGGATATAAAATTAGGTCAGAAATCTTGTTTTCCTCTGTGCCACTGACTCTGGTGTATAAAGTAGACATTCACACACCTACTGCGTTAGATCAGGGTGGAATAGGAGATCAGGACACAAGAATAGCTGTTCTAGGTCAGACCAAACGTCATGTGGGCCAGGTTCCTGTCTCCAGCGCCTCAGGAAGAAAGGGACAGTGATGCAGCAAGTTCCCAGCACAGTCACCCAACTTCTAGACCAGCAGCCCGGGGACTTCCCAAACCAGAGATGAAGTTAGGGGTGGGGTTTTTAGGGGTTTTCTTTTTTTGTTCAATGCCCTTTGATGTGTGGCTCTTCCTCTGGGAACAAGTCTGAATGGTTTCTGTGCAGACTGTTGGGCTTCTCAGCGCCCCGTGGCAGGGAGTCCCCCAGGTGAAAACCACCTGTCTGTGTGTCTCTGGACCCTGTTCCTAAAAGAATGCCTGAGTCAGACAATCCCCAGCACTCGCCTGGAAGCTGGGACGACTATCTCCAGTGCGGGGAACAGGGACTCTGACGGAGTCTGGGCCAGCACTCCCTTCCCGGGACTGATGAGCTGAGGGATCTTTCCTCCCACCTGGACCCCGGGAAGCCCTCGGCGGTGCGGCCTCGTGTAGAGGAGAGGACAACGAGTCGCACAGTGGCGACTGCCGCCTCGGCTTCTCTCGGGAGAGCCGCTGGCCAGGGCTACCTCAGAGCCTCGGGCCGGCCGTCCCTCCCGTCCCCTCAGGGAGCGCCGGTCCGCTCCCGCGCAGCGCCCCCCGGCCCGGCCCGGCCCGCCTCGCCTCATGGGCACCGCGGGGCGGGAAGGGCGCCCGCCGCCGGCCCAGGGCAGGGGGAGAAGGTTTCACACCGCAAAAAGCGCTCCCGAAATCTTCGTTCTTCCTTCAACCGGCGCCGAGGAGAGGTGGGACGGGCCGCAGCTCCCGGGCGGGCAGGAGCCGCGCGCGTCCCCTCAGCGAGCGGCGGGGCGGGAAAGGCCCGTCAGCCGCGAGCGCCGCCGGGGGCGCGCCCGCCCGGCGCTCCCGGGGCCGCCCCGGAGCGGCTCCTCCCGCTCCAGGTAGCGCTGGGAGCACCTGCGGAGCGGCGCTTCCCGAGGGACGCACCCTCGGGGCAGCCGGGGCGCGCCGTCTCCCTCAGGCGGAGGAGCCGTCGCCCGTAGCTCGCTCCATGCCATGCCGCCCCACGCTGTGCCATCCCTCCGCCTCCTGCCGGTACCTGCCTTCCCCTGACCGTGCCCTGCCATTCCCCTCCTCCTCCTCTTCCTCCTCCCCTCTCTCCCTCCTCCTCCTCTCCCCTCATGCATATGGATGGGCGCATGCGCCCGCCGCCCTGGGCTAGATGAAGCGGAGCGGCGGCGGCGCTCCCAGACGGGCGGGCGGCTGCGGGGCGGTGCGTGTGCTGCATGTGCGTGTGTATGTGTGAGTGTGTGTGCGTGTGTGTCTCGGGGGGGCGAGGGGCTCCGCCGCAAGGAATAAAAGGATTGGGATAATAATCGCAGTAATAAAACAAAAAAAAAAAAAAAAAAAAAAAAAAAAAAAAAGAGAGAGAGAGAAAAGAAAAGGGAAAGAAAAGAGGGGAGGCGAGAGAACAAGGCGGATAAAAGGAGGCCGGGCTGCTTTGCATTGAAGAGCGGGGCGCTATTGAAAGCGCTTGAAAAGCGGCGTTGTCCGGCGCGGGTGCGCCGCGGTATATTAGAGCGGGGCGGCGGCGGCGGCGGCGGCAGCAGCGGCGGCGCCTCCTCCTCCACCTCCTCCTTCTCCTCCTCCCTCCTGGCCCTCCCCGTCCCGTCCCGGAGCGAGCGGCGGCGGCGGCGGCCCTGCAGGCGGGCGGGCGGGCAGCGCGGCGGCGGCGGCGGGCGGCATGCGTGCGCCCCGGCGGGCAGCCGCGGCGGCGTGCTCCATCCTCACCCTCACCCTGCTCCTGGCGCTGCGGGACAAGGTACGTACCTGGGCACACCCGGGAATTCCCGGCGCTTTCCCGGAGTGCTTGCGGGAGACGGGTTTTGGGAAGCCCGGAGAGGCGCTCCTTGCAGAGCCGCTCCGGCCGGAGCGGAGCTGCTGCCCTGTAACTTCTCTCTGCAGGAGTGCGCCTTGCAGCAAGGCTTAATTCCCCGGGAATAAAAAGTGCTATTACTGCGGGTTTTTCTCCCTGAAATTACTTATTTCCCCCCCTTTTTTATCCCTTTTTAATTTCTCTTTTTTTATTATTATTTTTAATGAGCCTAATTGCTGGGGTGACTAATGAGCAGGGTCTGAGTCTCAGCTGGGCAGCTCCGGCTCAGCTGCACCCCGGAGGAGCAGAGGGGTTGCTCGATTGCCTTTCCAGGGTGTGCATTAGCTACATCGTTTTGTTGGGTTTGCCCTCCCGTATGCACTCTTGGCTTGGTTTAGTTTTATTTCCTAACGACTTGGAAGCTTTCCTCCCGCTGGTTTTTTTGGAGTTGGCACTTGAGGTTCTATTTTAGCATTAACGGCGTTATTTAGTTGGGATGATTTATGAGCCCTTCTGATAGGGAAAAGCTTGGAGTGGTTGGCTTTGTTTTATTTTTAATGTTATGCGTGTGCTTCTTGAAAGCACGCCTAAAATTACTTTCTCCTATCTGTAGTGTAGTTTTAGATTGTTTGGAGAAAAAAAGTGAGGTAACTGTTTCTTGTTTCTTTCTTTTTTTGCCTTTTTTTTCCTCCGGTTGTTTCTTGGGATTAACAGGTGACTTTAGCGTCGGGACAGTTCGAGTTGGAGATCTTATCCATGCAAAATGTGAATGGTGAACTGCAAAATGGAAATTGCTGCGATGGCACCCGAAACCCAGGAGATAAAAAATGCACCAGAGATGAGTGTGACACCTACTTTAAAGTTTGCCTGAAGGAGTATCAATCGCGGGTCAGTGTTGGCGGTCCTTGCAGCTTCGGATCCAAATCCACTCCTGTCATCGGAGGGAATACCTTCAATTTAAAGTACAACCGGAATAATGAAAAGAACCGGATCGTTATCCCTTTCAGCTTCGCCTGGCCGGTGAGTTGCGTGGCCTGCTCTGGCTCTGCCTCTGTTGGACGGTGCTCTTTGAGATGTCTTTAGTGTGCTGAGCTCTAACTCCTTGTGCCGGGGGAAGAGGGACCGGGATTGGGGAGGGAGAAGAAGGCATCTTGGCAAGAGCGTCGGGAATCCGCAGCACAGAAATGAGTAAAATGTAGTGGTGTTTTTGTTTTCGTTCCCTGGGGCTCACAATGCACAGCCTGTTAAATTTGAAAGTCAGATGTGCAGTGAGGGGGATCTAAATGGGTCAGGGAAGCAAACCCAGTATCTCTGCACTTTACAGCATGAATAAGTCTCTTGAGATTTAGAAGGTCAGAAGTTCATTTTTTTTCTTTTTTTTCTTAACCAGTGAAGTCTTGGGCTTAAGCCAAAAGAGCAGTGGGTTAGGGGCTGTAGAGGGATCCCGTGTGAAAAGTGTGTGTCATCGCTGGCCTCCTTCCCTGGAGCGTGTTTGGGAAGGCTTCCTGCTTCTCCCAAGGGGAAATCTCCCTGCGCTGCACGGTGTGGATGGGAGCTGCTGTAGCTGCTCTTGGTGAAGTAGCTGCCAGCTTCCCTGGGAAGCTGGCTGTGTTTTGAGGGACTTGCAGACTCCGGGAGGTAAAGATTGAGAAAAGCTTGGCCTTAGCTTTTGGTCCACTTCACTCACTCCTCTCCACAGCACACCTTTCCTGGCTACCTGCCTCTGTGGTCCATGGATTCTGCTTCCCTCTAGTTGTGTGCAAAACTCCGTGGCTCAAGGAGGTGGGACTCTTTGCCAGGCACTTTTCCAGTGTTGTCCACTGTAGTAAACGCTGGTCAGCTCTGCAGAGCAGAGATGGAGGATGGGTGACCCAGTCCTTCACTAGCAATCCTGCTTTGGTTTTGGCTGTGAAAAGAACACTCAGACATCAGTGCTGCCTGTTTCTTCTGGGTGCTCAGGGGGCTTGAATCTCTGATGGTCAGCTCTGCAGAGGAGCCCTCAACTCCCTGCGCAGAAAGCAAGGACCATCATTCTGAAATGGCCATCAGCTGGGACAGAGACACATGCAGGCTCTGGGGACATGGGATTTGTGGCCATGGAAGAGTGCCATGGCCTGGGATGGCAGGAGGTGCCCCGTTTTCGTGCCCAGCAGGCGAGCAAAAACTGAGGGTGACTGATCTGGGGAAAGGGGTCCTGTGCACACCGACAGTCTGGCTTTTGAGGTGTCTCCCTGGGATGCTGCAGTGCAAGCACCGAAAGCTCCCAAATTTCTGCTCCTGAAACTTTTAATATTTAGAGATCACCTAGGAAACCAAACTGTTTCCCCCCACACGCCCCTTCTCCAAAGGTGCTGAGCAGACAGTTTCCCACCAACTGCCTTGGGTTATGTTGATGCTCAGCAGTTTTGTAAATCCAGTCATCCTAACCTACATGCCTAAGGTCATTTTTGCGAGGGGAGGAGGGCCCTTCCGTGCACCAGGGGAGGGGTGAATCTTGTTTCCCATCCTCTGCCACTCTCCCTGCTGCCGGGGTGGACTCTCCACTCCCTCCAAAGCATGGCTCTTCCTAGATAAGGGCTGATTGTTGCTGGGAGAGCCTGGACTTTTTTTTTGGGGGGGGGAGGGGGGTGAAGGGATGGAAAAGCCCGCCCCAAAAGCATTCCTGCTCCAGTTGCGGTGTAGACACCCACTTTGTAGTCCTGCCGCCAAGTGCTGCAGGCAGCCATGTGTTCTTCAAGTGTCCTGTGCTGCCTCCTACCTGCCTGCTCTGTCAGTTGTGACTTGTGGAATATCGAGGGCTGAAGAGGCACAAGGGAGAAATTAAGTCTCCGTTTTTAAGGAGATAGTATTACAAAGTACAATAGCAGAGTTAACAAAAGTATTCTCTGTTGGAAGGACAAGTCCTTCCTTTCTTTCTCTTTCTTTTTTTTTTTTTTTCCTGAACATGAAATGAGATAAAACTGTTATCAAATATGCCATCAAAGGGATAAAGGGCTTTGTAAAAATCTGAGGTATTTGAAGCTCTGCCAGTGGCTGTAGTGCTTGTGTTGCAGATTTTCACTTTTTCTGAAAAGTCAGGTATATCAAGGATTTTTTTTTTTTTTTTAACTAACCCCCTTCTCTGCTCCCAGTAATTCGAGTGCCCTGAATGTGAAGATGTGTATATAAAAATGGTGTGAAAACTTAATGTGTTGCTTCCAACAACCCCTCTCTTCATAGGGCTGGGAAGGGAAATCTGTGTGTAGAGGGTGGGTTTTGGGGGGGTGGAAACCCTGGGAGAAGTTTCCTAAGCTTGTCTGCATCTCAGTAAAAGAAATGCTTCTATTGTCCTGCTGAATCTAATTCAGCACTGGAATCCTGGAGCAGCAGCAGCAAAACGCCAATGCAGCCTTTGAAATGTGTAAAACTCGACAAGTTCAGACACTCTATTCTAAAAATTCCAGCCTTATGAACCGAACTCTTGCTTATTCCCATGCAGAAATGCACTTTTTGAGACTCTGATGAGAATCTGTTTGCAATTATCAAGCCTGCCTTCCCAGCTTTAGCTTCCAAGGGACACAGCTTTTATGCTGGCCATTGTGACTTCCAAATGGCACTTGAACAAAAGAATATCTAATGTGGCAAAGCTCTTATTTGTCCTAAAATTGTGTACACAAATCATTTGAGGCGTTTTCAAAGCTGTAAGGATAGAGCAGTAAACTTAATTAGTCAACTCCAAGCTGATGCTGAAATTTCAGAGCTTTAAAAAAAAAAACCAACTTCTTTAGGTGGTTGAATACAGTGGACTTGAGTAAAAGCTTGAGGTTAGCATTGCATCTACCCAGGTGGCTACTCATGAGAGATGACTTTGAATGCACTCAGCTGAAAATTGTAGTAAAGGTAATAAGAGCAAGACCAAAATGTTAATCATAATGCTCTTGAAAATTCACGCCCATCTCCGAATA